AGAGTGGGGGGACCAAGGACTGAACCTTGGGGGACACCAACAGAGAGGAGTTGTGTAGAAGAAGCACAGCCAGAGAAAGAAACATTTAAAGAGCGCTGGGAGAGGTAGGAGGAGCACACAGGAGAGAGCAATATCTTGTAGACGGATATTGCAAAGAATAAGAAGAAGCTGTTGATGATCAACAGTATCAGAAGCTGCAGAAAGGTCCAGGAGAATTAGGATAGAGTAGTGACCATGAGATTTTGCAGTGAGTGGATCATTGGATACCTTGGTCAGTGCCGTTTCCACAGAGTGCTTAGCGCGGAAACCAGACTGAAGCGGGTCTAGCAGAGAATTGGACTTGAGTAAGTCTGTCAATCTCGCATACACAACCCTTTAAGGATCTTGGATGCAAAAGGCAGTAGCGAGATAAGACGGTAGTTGGATGGGGAGTTAGGGTCAAGGTTGGGTTTCTTTAGAATTGGGGTTCATGTTTAGTTGCATGTTTGAAGGGCGATGGAAATATGCCAGAGGAGGGAGAGAGATTTTTATTGAGAGGTAAAGAAAGAGAAGAAGACAGAGTATGGATGAGATGTGAGGGAATTGGATCTAGGGAACAGGAGGTGGATGGGAGGACTGGAGCAGAGCAGAAACCTCTTCCATTGTAGCTGGTGCAAATGAACATAGAACAGCAGAGGGAGTGAGGTTAGGGGAAGTATTGTAAGGGGAAGAAGAAATATGAGAGATCTCTTCCCTGATTGTAGAGATCTTTGTCAGTGAAGTGAGTTGCATAGTCTGAGGCGGTCAAGTTAGTAGGTGGAGGAGGAACAATTAAGCAATGAAGAGAGTTAAATGTGTGAAATAGTCATTTGGGTTTGCGGGAGAGTGTGGTTATGAGGGTATTGAAGTAATTTACTTTTGCAGAGGAAAGAGACAAGATGTATGAGCACAGCATACATGCCATGATCAGAAGCCAGCAAAAACAAAGGAGCCTCAATCTTTGCGAGATGACCTTAAATGCATGATGGAATATAGTATCCATTCTCTTGCTAATCTGTTTACTTCCAGACATAGGAAGCCTGTGCCAAGAGACAGTGGTTGCACCAGAATGTCCTATGTTTGTAGCACTTTCATTCCTTCTTGGGGTGTTAACATCACCTTATTTGTGCCGTTTTGTAAACCTATTTGTTTAATGGGAAATCCCCAATGGTAGGCAATATTATGATTTCTCAGGGCTTATTTAATATGTTGGAATTCTCTCTCAGCACCCTTATAATGTATGCATGATTAGGCCAGCACAGCACTCTTGGTTTTACATTTAAATATATTTGGGAGTCAAAGCCATCTACCATGGCTTGCACTACAGAGAGCCCCAGGTGGAAGCATTTCCCAAGTAAGTGACTATAACATAAGAGCAGACATTCAGGGTTGTTAGAGTAGGACTTGCCAAAAAGGGGGTTCATTGATGTAGTATGAAGTGTGTGATCATGTATTTGTAAATAAACCTCCATTGTTTCTGCCTAAGTCAGATTTTTTTTCATTTTGTTTTTTAAATAATTATCAATTATGTATGCTTTGAAGATGATATTTAGTTAATGTTTGAGTTTTCTGCATTGTATATGTTGTAGGCCCCAGCAGCACCCTCACAATCTATGCATGTTTAGATTCATGCATCCCACTTGGTTTCAGCTGCACCCCATTTATGTTCAGGTGAGTGCGGCCCCCAAGTTTCATATATATATATATATATATATATATATATATATTTATATATATTTATTTATTTGTGAGTCTAGCCATCTCCTTGGTTTTGCACCCCTCCCTGTCACATGTGCCTCATCCCAGGGCACTATATAGCCTTGTACTGCAGAGAGCCCCAATTTTTTCCCCAAGTTTAAAAAAACAACAACAAAAAACTAATCATATCTGTCAACATTGAAGATGTTGTTTAGTGGATAGGTGAGTGCGCTGGATCTTGTGTATTGTGTATATATATATATATATATATATATATATATATATATATATAGCAAACCAGTAACCAACCTCATGCTGATGATTTGCATTAACAATGAAACTGCTGTCCATGAGTGGTTTACTGGCTTTGCATCTTTTCCTAAGTTGTGTTTCAAAGCTGTTGTATACATCAAACACAGACTCAAAGGAATCCATGTTTAAAATGAAATGAGGCAAAAATGTGATTCTTTGTTAAACTAATTTGCATATACCCATCCATAATCCTTTGCGGTACTAACATCTAATATATATATATATATATATATATATATATATATATATATATATATATACAATATAGCATTCCCTAAAAAATACTGAATCTAAATTCATAACATTGATGCAAGTAATGAATGCTGTATAATCATACAGGAAGATGTTTTGCCAGTCTTGCCAGTCTAGACTTCACAGCTGGAATGTGTGAAAAGCACTAGACCTTTTAATTTCAATTCTTCTTAGCTAAGGAATGGACCATTGACAGTTTCTTGACATGAAGCGGAAAAAAATAAATAAATACCATTAATAACATTTCATTTCATTCATATTTATACTTTTGCCTCTGCTGTCACCTCTAACAATTATTTAGGTTTATTCTACAAGATCAGTTCCCTTCCATTAAATAGTTTTCATGATTGTCAAACAAGATACTTTGTCACCCTTCAAAATGTCTTTTGGGTCATACAAAAAAAAAAGAAATTAGACTGGAGAGTGCAGTACATTGTATCATGGACCTTCAACCCATTGTGTGCCAGAGGTGTAAGAGGGCAATGCTTTTCTAGAAATAAACATTGTCAGCTCTTGGTTCAGTCTGACAAATCAAAAATGTCCTCAGACATTGTTCTTCGCACAATGGCTTCTTCCCTTGCTGTCTGATACAAGTCACGTACTATTTTGATTAGCTTACATCAACTTATATAAATCTTCAAATGTCTACAACAGAGTGTAAGCCTTCAAAAACAATAATACGGTGATAAAATAATATATGCAGGACACTCACAAATGGGGAGCTATAAGACCTAGTTCCGATGTTGATAACCTCAGGTCCGTTTAGGCGACCCACCCCTATGTCAGGTGAATGTCCAATCCTGAGGGAAGCATATAAAGCCAAAAATAGGATAGCACAGTTTTCCACCAATATTAAAAAATAGCAAGCTAAATGCGTACATACAATCCTAGAGCCCTATGGCTCTGCAGTATTGCGCTATGTAGTTCTGGAATACGCTTCCTCTTTATGAAGTTGATTCCGGAAACCAGATAAAAATAATAAAATAAAGTATGGGAACAATGTCCTTTACACGTTTCACACCAATGTAGCTTCCTCAGCTGGGTAAAATGTAAGCTAATCCCTGGTTCTCTGGTCTGTGTTCATATAATTCTTAAATGAGGAAATAGGTGTCCGTTGTGCTTGTTCCATTACGCAATTACCAACCTTGGTAATGCGAATGTGGTCCAAGTCTCCATGTGAAAGTCGGCATCCATCACGGCGGACGTTCTCATCTGGAGCTCCGTTGTGTATGATGTCGGTTGCAGATTACTTCATTGTATATCAAGCCTCATTCCGAGAGAATGATGATGTCATTCTTCCGTGGGTTTTCAGTCTTCAGAGTTTAACAGCGTATTGTCAGGATTACTAGTTGATCCAGCACGCAGAACTGTATCACACCTAGGACTAAAGGTAACATCTTACCAGGCCTTAGAATGGCCAGACTTAACATACCAGAGAATAGTCAGAATACTCAGGGACACAGAAAGAAACACAACGATGAGGGAAAGCCAATGGTCAGGGGTACCGAAATACAGGGAAGTCAAAACGAGGCCAAAGTCAATAACCAGAATTAAACACCCTCAAGAACACACCCTCGGACAACCACTAAGGGAAACAATGACAGGACAATGAGTAAAAGGAAAAAAGGAGTGTAAATAAGCCTCCTTCAGATCCGATTGGCTGTATCCGGCCTTTGACCCCAGAACATGAGTGCGTGTCCTTTATGTGATGTCACACGTAGTGTGGGCGGACGTGGGGCTACATATTGGTGGGGATATGCAGTGGCCGGCATCCACCAAGATGTCACAGGAGTCAGATATATTGCCGCATGACTGCTGAATGGCACTTCGGCATTTATCATGAAGGCAACTACTGCAAATACCACAAGGTAAGGCTGAACATGTTACATTACCCCCCCACCTGAAGACCGCCATCCGGGCGGGCAGGCCCAGGTTTGAGATGAAACTTCCTGTGGCCAGCATGAATGTCAGAAGTTGGAACCCAAGAGCGCTCGGCAGTACCCCTTTCAATCAAGCACTGGGAATACGCAAAGAGGCTGGGAGTACTAAAGAATACGAGACAGGATTAATTCTTTAAATGACACAAAATGGACAAAGGAACCTGGGAGCAAACTTCATGCTAGGAACCTTCAGCTTAACATTGCGCGATGATAACCACACCCTCTCACCCACTTGGTAAACAGGGTTGGCACCCCGCCTTTTTTTTTTTTTTAATTCTTTATTTTTGAGTGCAGAGTTAAATATATGTATCAACAATAATACATGGCTTTAGAAAGAGATTGACAATGTTTCATTTGGCATATTCATGGTGTGCTGCACTTTTTTTTGTACAAGATTAATACCAAAACAGGCTTATCTATAATTGAAGATCAAAACATAACGAGTATGTGGCTTCACAATAGCACAATTAACATTCTTTAGTAAAACAGGCTAGTTACACATGCCTAGATTCAGTTGCTATCTGCTCTAAAATAAAACAGTAAAGAAGACTTGGGTGAAGCATGGCAACAGTTTAGTATACCACCCCAGACTGTACTGGGTCATTGTGGAGACATCCATAATGGTCTGCGACTAATGCAATTGCAGCTTATAGACTTATAGTATCTGGATAGACATATGGTGTAGGCAAGGGAGAGACAGGGAATCATGTAGATACTGAGCAAGAGGGAGCATGTTGTAAACAGTGGAGAGGTGCATTACCAGCAGTTCAGATATGGCGGTCAGCCTATCCCCTGTACAGGGAAGTTATAGTCCCACATGGTATGTGCCTCCTTCCTTATAGCCAATGGAGTCAGCTGCGGATTCTGGGTTTGCTTCCCTCCTCTCTCTCCTTCCGGACTCATCTCCCACATGTGTCTTATGGTGCTGTGCTGCCAGATTCGTCTGCATTCCGCAGTGTTTGCAGCTGCTTTTCTGGTGCGTTGCCGATGCAGCCTTTGCCTTCTCCGTCTCACCAGGACTTTGATGGCAGTAATCTGAAGGCGTTTGGAGGGAGCCTCTGCGGACTGTAGAGCAGGTAGGGTCAGCTTACTCTCCAGCTTTTCCCAGAAAGCAGCGAAGAGGGCTTGCAGGCGGTGGTGAAGAGTGGATGTCTCTTCATGTGACTCCAGGTGTCCCGTGGCGTCCGCCATTTTGCTGGCTTCTCTATCAATATCTTTGGCGTTTAGGGATACGCCACGGATCTCTGCTGAGTGTCGGCAGCTGCCGGAGTGGGGACCGGGATCACCCCCACCGGTCCAAAGGGGGGGAAAGCAGGGCATCAATTTCACGCTTGGGTCCATGTTTGCATCCGTCCGGGAGAGCGGCCGCCTCTCCCCTCCGACGCGCCTGCTAGGTCTTGATTTGCTTTGGCCACTGGTGTGTTCGAGAGGGCTGCCGGGCATGGTCCCCGATCTTCCTGTCATGTCGTGATACCAAGAGTAGGTGTCAGGCTTAGAAATAGTTGCTGTAATGGTGCCGAAATTCGATTTTGTGCAGTGGGTCTCAGGGAGCTCCCCAGAAACATGTCCAGTCGCCATGCTGGTCAGGCCCCACCCCCGGCACCCCGCCTTTTATCAGCATGAAATTTGAAATGAGCAGCTGCAGTTTCGAGAGTGGATTGAACTTTGGTCCAAGTTTGGTCCAAGTCTCACGAATAGCAGCAAGGTGATCATCCAGAGCAGAGAAAACAGCCGGCTGTACAGTAGGATGACAACTGTTATTAACAAAGAAAGGGCTATGACCGGAAGAGTCATGGTTAGTGTAACGGCACCCCCAGGGCATAAAAGGGTTAAACCGCCGTTTAGTAGATCTTCCCTTCCAGAGACACAGGCACATCTTCTGCAGAACACCAATCCGCCAAACAGGAAACCATATGAATGCCGTAAACAGCCGAATAGGAAATAGGGGGCGGACCGAACAGCACATATGTTCGCCATCCATGGCGAACGCGAACAAACGATGTTCGCCCGCAACTATTCGCCAGCGAACCGTTCGGGACATCACTACTGCCATGTGCTTAATGGAGTTTTGCCTCTGTCCTAGGAGATAATTGGATTACTTCCTAATTATCTCCAGGATAGAAGACGCTGTGGAACTGGTTTTGGGCAGAAAAGCCATGCTTCCTTTGGTCACAAAGGAGTACGATCTATCTTTTGAACCTCTGGACCAATTTGTATGATTTTGACGTATGTTTATATTTGGAGTATGCTGATTCTGAAAATGTAATGTTTTATGTGAATGTGATGCATACTCTTCAAGTTATGAATTGTGTAAGGTAATTGTATCACAGGCAGAGGGGAGGAGTTTGTGTGGGAGTGTCTGAGTGTATTGTATGTGTTTATTGGTTGTGTTCCAAAACCCTGTGGGTGGTACTTATGTGTAAGAATGTGTACATAAGAACAATAAACCCACAGCTCTGTCTGTTCACTGCTTGACCCTCAACACGGAGCTTTGTCTCGTTCTTGGGGGGATTTATTGTATGCTGTTCCAGTTCGACTGCTAGGAGTGTAAACCTATTCGTATGGTTTTTCCTATTCGGCTGTTTACAGCATTCATATGGTTTCCTGTTCGGCGGATTGGTGTTCTGCAGTAGCTGTGCCTGTGTCTCTGAAAGGGAAGATCTGTTAAACGGCGGTTTAACCCTTTTATGCCTGAGGGTGCCGTTACAATTGGTGGCGCAATCTCGCCACAAACACTATAGTATTAGGAATACAAACATGTATTCCTGACACCATAGTTGTGAAAACGCAATTCACCCTGGCTTTATTCACCCTTTGACCCCATAATGTGCGTGTCCTTTACGTGACGTCACACGCACGCCAACGTCGTCAGTAGCATGGGCGGATGTGGGGCTACATATTGGTGTGTAACTGCAGCGGCCAGCAGCCACCAAGATGTCGCAGGAGTCAGATACTGACGGCACTTCCGCATTTATCAGGAAGGCAACTACTGCAAATACCGCAAGGTGAGGCTGAACATGTTACAGATATATCCGATAATTCTTTAACTTAGAAGTCCTTTCACACAAAAATATAACATGGTTTTCTGGCATATATGTTATCTTAAAAACCGTAAATATTTTGAGCAATACATACACCGACATACATATCTGTCTGTCTGTCTGTCTGTGTGTCTGTATATATGTGTCTGTGTGTGTCTGTATGTCTGTATATGTGTATGTGTGTGTGCCTGTTTGTCTGTTTGTCTGTATGTGTGCCTGTCGGTTTGTATGTATGTATATGTCTTGTGTGTGTGTCTGTGTCTGTATGTGTGTATGTGTCTGTGTGTATGTCTGTCTGTATGAATGTGCTTGTGTGTATGTATGTATGTATGTGTCTTTGTATGTGTGTGTGTCTGTCTGTGTGTATGTATGTTTGTCTAAGTGTGTGTGTCTATATGTATGTCTGTGTGTCTGTCTGTATGTATGTATGAATGTGTGTGTCTGTCTGTACGTGTGCCTGTCTGTTTGTATATATGTATGTGTCTTTGTATGTATGTATGTGTTTCTTGTGAGAAAACGCTGGACTTCCATAGGAAAGCATTGAGTAATGCTTTCATATGGGCTGTTTGAATGCGGGCGTGGCTCTTTTGACGTGCATGCACATTCGGATCTGACGTCGGCAGGGGGTGGAGAGTTCCCCAGCATAGTGGGAGCCAGGTGCTGGACAAAGGTGAGTGGCTGAAGGGGTTTTAACCCCTTCTGTCCAGCAGGAGGGGGGCCCTGAGGGTGGGGGGGACCTAATGACCCTATGGTGCCAGAAAAACAAGTTTGTTTTCCTGGCACTATAGTGCTCCATTAAGGGATTCTTTCTTTCTTTCTTTCTTTCTTTTATAACACTATTCACTAATGAACTTCTAAGATATTTCACACCTCTATGAATGAATCTCGGTTTTGTAGGTAGAAAAGAATTCAAAAGAGGATCTTGCAATAGTATAGGCCAGTATTTGGTTATGATCCTACATACTTGGTCATTTTTATCAGTGTAATTGCAAATAAATGGAGCGTCTTTGATGAGTTGGTCTTGTTTAACTTTATATTGTAACATCTCTTTTCTTTCTTTGTTTTTTATTTCCATTCTTGATACCTCTAATTTCTGTTCCTCATAGCCTTTATCTAAGAAATCTTTTTTTAATTCTTAAAGATTAATCCTCATAAGTTTCTAAATCTGTATAGTTGCAGCAAATTCTTAAATATTTACCTTTTGGGGCATTTTCTAGCCAAGGGGCATGATGGCAATTGTTACGCTCAATAAAACTATTACAATCTACAGTTTAAAAAAAAAATTTTTTGTCTTTATTGTCCCTTCTTGAATATAAATATTAAGGTCTAAAAAAAAAATTCCTTTTTACTCCAGGTACTGGTCAGTTTAATTCCCCATATGTTGTTATTTAAAAAAAATAAAAACGCTTCCAATCCTTCTGAATTACCTTTCCAAATTAACAGGATATCATCAATGTACCAGCAACAGGACACTAATCTTTCCCCCAGCTATGGTGGCCAAAAATATATGTCTCTTCCCAAAATGCCATAAAGAGATTTGCATACCTGAGGGCAAACTTCGTTCCCATGGTTGTTCCATTGTTCTGTATGTAGAATTCTTCTCTGAACCAGAAAAATATTTTATTTATTTTTGAACCAGAAAAAAAATATTATTTAAAATTAGTTGTATACCCTCTAAAATGTAATTAACTTGGGAAGTTAAAAAATCTGTAGATAAATTTAAGTAGTGTTCCACTGCTTTACATCCATGTTCATGGGGAATATTGCTGCACAGTCACATGTTACTAAAATATATTCACTATCCCAATTAAAACCTTCTAAAAGTCATTGTATCCTTAATATAAGATTTTGTTTTTTGATCTATGGCTTGTAACAAGACGTCTATATACTGAGACAGCCTGCTAGAAATTGCATCCACTCCGGCTATGATAGGCCTGCCTGGGTGATTATTAACATTTTTATGAACTTTTGGCAGGAAATAAAACATGGGAACCTCAGGGTGTTTGATGTTAAGAAAATCAAATATCTTGTTGATTTTTTCACTTGGATTTCCACTTATTTTATTAATATGCATTCTTATCATTCAGAATTCTATCAGCCTCTGCATAGTAAAAATCTTTTTCACATTAACACTATACTCTCCCCGCCCTCCTTATCAGCGGGCTTAATGATCAGATCTGGATCAAGTTTAAGGTCTTTAAGTGCTTGGTTTTCATTATAGTTAGATTATTATGAAATTTGTCTTTTGGGGTTCTTATTAAGCTCTGTCATGACCATAGTCTCAAAGGATATCATCTTGTCCTAGATCATGTGTTTTGGAAAGAAAGATAATTTATTTTTTAATTCTGTCTGTTCAAATTCAGACCTATTTTCTACTTTGTTTCTCTCTATAGGATTTTTAATGAAGAACTTTTTTAGACAGAGATTTCTCTTGAATCTATCGAGATCTATGTACATATCAAAATGATTTAAATCTTTATTGGGGCAAATTTTAATCCTCTTTGTAAAACCATTTTATGGTGGACATTTAAATCTTTGTTACGAAGGTTGAAGATTCCCTTCATTGTCGTGTCTAATATCTTTCTCTTCTTTTTATGTTGTGTGAGTCTTCCTCCTCTAGTTCCTCATCTTCTGATAGTCTTCTTCTTTTGGAGTAGGTGGGAGGATCTATGTCTTGATTTCTTTTGTGTCTCTCTTTGGTTTTGCCCTGCCAAAAAAAACCCTCCTCTCTGTGATTTTCTAAGGTTAAGGTTAAGGTTTCATAACAGTTGTGTAACTCAGTGTGATCTTCCTTAGTATGTGGGTTTACCAAAGGTCGCCTCATCAAAGAAGGGTTTTGGTCTTTCTATTTCTTTGGTACACACCATCTCTCATTACTTTCCCATGGGGATAGGTATGATTATCTCTCCTCCTATAGGATTATTTTCTGCTCCTAAAATCATTAAAGGGTCTATTATCTTTTTTATTCCTAAAGTTGTATTGGGGCTTATTGTTGTATGATGGATAGTATGTATTATTTCTTGTGATATCTTCCCTTCTTTGTCTACATAGATTATTTGTTTCTATTGGTTTGTATCTTCTGTTTGAGGTGAGATAATTATCTTTTTCTTTATTAGAAGAGGATCTAACTTGTTTCAGTTTATAATCTCG